CGAAACACCAGTGAAGGGAGGCTCCCACTTGACAACCCCGGTGATGTCCTGGCTCTTGCTGCTAAGATATAGAAGTTCTGGGAATGGGTGTGGAGAGAGCTAGCACTGAGCGGGATGGTGGAGCTTATTGTCCAGCCTTCCTGCTGAGTTGTGGGACTAATCAGACGAAACACCATCAGTCTACAGGGTTGAGTTGTGGGGGCCAAGAGGGTCCATGTGGTTGGTTGGGTAGTATCAGCGTTGTCACACCTGGAACTCTCATCAACACAGCCTGTGTCCGTTGAAGGTGGCGATGCTGTTTCGGTTGCGGTGGCAACTAATAGCCATAGGGTGGATTATGTAACTTATCAGTAGGATAAAGAGGCATGACTGGAGCATGGATGGAGGACGGACATCATGATGTGGGACAGTGTGATGTCAGACAGAAAGGTTGAGCCGGTCGGTGATAATGTCGTGTCCACATGCTGTCCTCTGTGATGACTCTTCTCCTGACAGCCCTGTGTGCAGCTCGGCTGGAGAGAAGCTGTGATTTTATACCTGAATGTGAGCAGGACAAAACAAAAGGAAATGTGCCACATTGAAATCTACAGACTTCTAGCAGCCTGTTGCAACACAGCCCACAGCCTCTGCTAAAGCAATTAGCCAATTACACAGTTATATAATTATAGGATGTTGGGATGGCGCCACTGGCAGCCAGCACAATTACAACGGGGGGCAATGCAGCCCCCTGACACCCCTTTGGACACGTTCCTGGCTGCAAGTTCTTAAACCTTGGAAAGTGTACTCCCCTTTTCAGGAAGTACCTACAAGTTTATATGAAACCCCCAGGACTCTGGTCTCTAAGAGGGAAACATTCCTCCAAAGGGTCTGTGTGTGAAGAACCTTCTAGACTTTAAAAAATAGACTGATGAAGTATTAATTAAAGTGTCTCAAACATGCTCTGATTCTCTAAGAATGAAGCGTCATCGACCGAGCTGCACTCTCACTATGACGGAGCAGCGCTCTCACAACAAAGCTGTGTCAGAGTTATATTTACAGACTTTATTTACAGAGCTTTTTCTTTTGAAGGCATACAGAGGTGGAATTGTTTTCCTGATCTCTGGAAAGTTTGAGCGTCACATCTCTTATAAATACTGCAGCGCAGTTACCGCCAACTCTCAGCAGACGCTCGTTTCGTCACTCTAACTGTGCGTGGCTGTTAGCGCCCCCTGTCTGTGAGTTAGACACTTTTTACAATGAGGCTGATTTACAGAGAAAGAGACGATGAATAATGGATCATTTAAATACAAACAGCAGCGACACAGATAGACGCAGTTTGCTCTGCAGCGCAGTTAGAGGAACATTTAACCCTTTATGGGTGTTTGTGAATCAGACTGCGTCTTTTTGACTCATTTGCAGGTTAAGCGGTTTCAAAAGCAGCAGAATCCTTCAATGTATCAATCCCTGAGTTTTCCACATGATGAAACAGCACTTGTTGTTTGTGTTTCCAGCCGGCTCTGATGATGGCGTCGGATTTGCAGTGAAACTCTTCACAGATTTGAACAGTTATAGTGAGCCCTTGTGGAAAAGGGAACCTGTGCCCCCTGTCCTTACATCAACACTACTGTCGTTCATTCGGATTATTTTTACCTAGTTATGGCAAAAAGTTTTTCTGTCAGGAAACACGGAGAAAGGTGGGCTTTATATCTGATCAAAGATCTCAGACACTGATGAGATGCAAAACATTTAGCTGAAGCAGAGAGTCAAAAATTGCTCCAGAAGTTCCTGAAATGACCGACCACAGAGAAGAGGGACTCCTAAAACTCTCCTGCAGGAACTAAAGGTAGATTTTGTTCTTCATATCAAAACACAGATTTAGTTCCTGGGTTCATCCAAAGGTTCTTAGTTCCAGGGGAAGCTGCGTCTGGAGCTTTTTACCATCTTTGTTGTTTTTTATGTTTCAGTTTTTAGTTTCAACCTGAACTTGTCATGAACTTTATGTGACAGGCTCCTGAGGCGTGGTGCATTGTGGGAACTGCCCCGCGGAGAAACATGTTAACATGGGTGTACATGTGTGTGTGTGTGCATTTCTTGGAGATGATTTAATCGGATGTGACGGCTGCGATAATGAACTGGCTGAGAGTCGACTTAAAAGTGAAAGAGAAAGTATACACACACACACACACACACACACACACACACACACACACACACACATCATTTAGATATTGATTTATATTGACACTTACACTCAGGAATAAAAATAACTGATTTCTAAATGGCGTTCTGAACTGTCACATTACACAAATATCGATGCAGGAACAACACACGCACACACACACACACACACACACCCCTCACAGATTGACCTTTTCCCTCTCGGCAGGTTCCGTGTCTCTCCTCTCTCTCTCTTCTCGACTTCTTGTCGTCTTTTTCTGACCTTTTCCTTCGCTCCTTGACTCTAAAAGTTCCCTCGGGACTTAAAATCAAACCACTACTCGGAGAGATTTTGTACTTCTGAATAAAATCCTAAAAAACATCTCAGGACGGAGAGCAGGCGCCCTTGTGTTGCTGTGAATTTCTCTGAAAAAAAATTGCAGCAACGAGAGAGCAGAACGACATTCAAAGTGTGAACAGTAAAGATATTTACAGGAAAACGTTGTCCTTATAAGGACCAAAGCCACAAGTCCACCTGGCATTCTGAGCGCCATCTTTTTATTCCCCGTGGTTTAGTCTCCTGCGGATCATGCCCCTTTCTGCTCTGCTCGCTCTCATTGGCTGAAGCAGGTATTTCCTGGTAGGCAACCCGATCTGGATGAGATCATTTCATCATTATCATTTTGATAACAGACGCCATGCAACAGAAACGACTAAAACGCTGTAGTACACATGCCAGGCCTCCTCCCTCTCCCCCTCCTCCTCTTCCTCCCTGTCCCCCTTCTTCTCTTCCTCTCCTCCTCCTCCTCTTTCTCCTCTTCCTCCTCTTCTTCCTCCTCCTCCTCCTTCTCTTCCTCCTCCTTCTCTTTCTCCTCCTCCTTCTTTTCTCCTCTTCCTCTTCTTGCTTCCTCTTCCTCCTCCTCTTTTTCCTCCTTCTCTTCCTCCTCCTCCTCTTCCTCTTCCTCTTCCTCCTCCTCCTCTTCCTCTTCCTCCTCCTCCTCCTCCTCTGTCCTTTATGAATACAAACTAATTTCAACATTCTGACATTTCCACTGAAAAGAGATAAAAGTGGAACTGCCAGGGGGCCGGCGAGCTCACAGGGAGGGCGATGACCTTGTGTGTGTGTGTGTGTGTGTGTGTGTGTGTGTGTGTGTGTGTGTGTGTGTGTGTGTGTGTGTGTGTGTGTGTGTGTGTGTGTGTGTGTGTGTGTGTGTGTGTGTGTGTGTGTGTGTGTGTGTGTGTGCGTTTGAGGGATGTTGCATAAAACCCTGTGAAAGAAAAACGAGACAAACGGCGAGGAGCGAAACAGCAGGGACACTTTGAGTGTAAATTAAGTTTGTTATACAACATTTTGATACATTATTAGTGTCTCATTATACATCTTCAAAAACAGATATTTTAATCATGTTGATAAAGTTACGATGAGCATGAAACACAGGGATGTAGTTCTGTGTGCACACGTGCAGAGCCGAAGATAAACCAGGGTCTGTTCAGTAAGAATGAAAATAGATCGACTGAAGACACTGGATCAGGAAATCTCCCGTTAATGTTCTCAAATAGGTTTGCATATTTAAATTGGCTGCAGGTCAGTTATTGTGTTCTTTGACATTGTGACACCTCAGCAGGAGGTCTAACGCCTCAGAACACAAACGCAGCCGATGATGAAGCGGAGACGACGTCGCCCCGCTGAGATCAGAGCGTGAAAGACGCTCAGTGGGAGACAAACATGGAGTCTGAAGGGAGAGTTTGAATTCAGAGAAATGAGCACACGGGTCCTCGAGTGTCTGAGTTACCAGACGACCGTTGAACCTGCTGTAAAGGTCAAGCATGTGCTTTCTGCGCCATGCTGGTATCAAAGAGGTCATGTCAGAGTCTCTAAAGATGAATGAGTTCATCTCCAGTCAAATCTGAGTCATCACTACAAGGAAGACAGTCTCTTTAGTAGAAAGGTGAAAACATGCTTCATAGAAAACTCCCTTCTGCCCAAAGGGTTCAAAAACTTCATTACCCAGAATGCACTTGGCTTGTTGTTGTTCCCTATTCAATAGGCGTGACCAGCCCTTCTCGTGGGTGGTTAAATGTCAATTTAGAGCCGGTTTCCATCAGACAGCGTATGTTTGTTAAAATCACACGGTGAAGTCAAAGTACGAGTCATCGGTACCTAAATCAGAGTCCAGCTCAAACATCCATCTGATCAGCGCTGTGATCTGATTGGATGCTGACCAATCTTCCAGAAGTTGAACCTAAGTTATCTTCATCACTTTGGACACCTGGTCACCATGGTTACCAAGGTGAGCGGGTATTGGGACCAGACTGGCCTGAGAGAGAAGGAAGCGAATGGTGATTACTGTGCGTGTGTGTGTGTGTGTGCGCATTGTGTGTGTTGAACATGAAATCATCCACAGCTGAGTGTGTGGAGGCTGCTGACAGATTGTAGCCATATCTGTGCAGACGTACTCATCACTGCTGCGTGTGTGTTTGTATCACTGAAATATCAAGACACACACACACAATCACCTTTTAAATGTGTTTTTATCACTGTGTGATAAAGGTAACCAGGTGAGGGGACGTGGTTTTTCATCTTCTTTCATTTTTATATGAAGATGAATTTTACTAAGAGCGTATCCTGTTTGAGGGAGGGAGAACAGAACCTCGGTAACATGTAACTGAGACAGCTGCTTCCTGTTTAATCAGCTGACTGTAAGCACTAAACCCGATGTGTAAACGAGTTCATCTTCAGGTCTTCCTCATGACGACTCAGTAGGGGGCGCTAGAGACATAACAGTTCCACAAACCAAAAAGAAACCTGAAGTTTTCATCTTTAGATCCGAAGTATTGATTTGTTCCTTTTTTTTATTTTGCAGCAAACAGGAGCAGCTGACCATCTCCAATGTTCCCGTCACAGACTGCCCTCCCTCTCCCCCCCGAACCGCACCCCCCACCATGAAGGTAACAAACACACACACACACAGTTATATCTGGTTGTAGGATGAATACCACACATGTTAGTGTGCATGTTTGTGAGGAGAAACTAAAACTCACAGAGCAGAGAAGTAAACATGTGCTGTTAGGACACGTGTGTAAGGTGTGAAGCTAGACTTTTCTCCTCTGTCACCCATCGGTGGTGGAACGCACTACCAAACTCCATTTGATCTGCAGAATCCCTTTGACCTTTAAAGGCATACTTCACCCGTTGAAACATGAATCTGTATTGACATTGGGTCATATATGTAGTAGAAATGTGAAATAAATTTAAAGGCAGAAAGTGTATTTTTGGCTCATGTGGATGAAAGACACCAACTCCCAGAATGCACAGCACCGCAGGCCCACTAAGGTCCTCTATTTACAGACATATTTACTACAACACATACGGCCGTTTCCTCAACTGATTCAGAGATTTCTTCCTGAAGGAATTGGCATGTTGTCCATAGACAATGACAAACAGTGAGAGCACCGACACTACCAGTCCGCTCCAGCTCGAGCCAGCCCCGACCATTCAAAAATACTACCAGGTTTCTAATGATACAAAGCTTAATGCAAATGCGTGAAGTATCCCTTTAAGAAAACCCCGCTCTTTATACTTACGACCTTCATGGTGATGATGATGAAGAAGACGATCCATTAATATTTAGGATGGTTTTGATGCTGATTAGAACTCTCAAGAACAGCTGTCGATGCTGTGCTCTGCCTCTGGTCACTTCCTGTCAGCACCGCTGGTCACTTCCTGTCAGCACCTCTGGTCACTTCCTGTCAGCACCTGTGTGTCCGATCAGACTTGAAGCTGTGTGTTTGAACTTGACGTTGTTTCCTCTTCTCTCTCTCTCCTCACTCGTGTTGTTTTTACTCTCTGATGTTCGTCTGATAAATGAATGTAGAATAAATATAATCAAACATCTTTCTGTGTTTCTGTCCACAGTCGGCTCATTTCTTTGACATGATGGATAAGATGGAGGTAAGAACTTTAATTTGTCTAGGCTGTGATTTGTCTTTTTTTAGTGTTGGTTTGAAGGTTAAGTCTAAAGTTAACTAAGACACACACCTGCTTTAAAGTCCAGAGTCCAAACACTCTCTCTCTATAGCACCAAATGTGGATTCATCCACCGCTTCAAATAGTCCTGAAAAGATTCTGCATCGCCCGGTTTGAGTCTCGTATTACAGTCGCTGTTTGTGAGGTCGTGTCTTCTTAGCAGAGCGATAATCTCCTCACTGTGTTCCTGCAGCAGGTGCCAGAAGCTGCAGAGATGAAGACGATCCCTCAGAGACAGAAGGCACGTCTGTCCATCTGTCCGTCCTCATGTCCATCCTCTCCCTGTTATCGCTTCATTTCATTCACCCTTGCAAAGACAAGCAGAGCGCCGTCTTACTGAGCTCGGTACGAAGGAAGCTGTGAGAGAATCCATGCGTCTGTCTTTGAACAAATCTGAGCAGTTAGACCAAAATATTAAGTTTCCATTGAAAGCTTCTGATAGGAGCAGGATGCGAGACTTACTGGCGTCTAGCATCGCTTAACAGCAACAAACGGATAACGGCTTACAAACTCAAAGACCACAAAACGGGAACTGAAAGACCCCCTCGACAACCACTCAGAGCCCGATTACAAAACTATTGCACGGCTCTTTTACGCTGTGAATGAGTCAAAAGTACAACGAGAGCACAAGCCCATCTCAAAACTGCTCTTTGTGATGCTTTTATTTTCCTTTTCTTATTGCATTAATCCTCAGTGTCTTTATTTTCTGGTCTTTATATAAAATATGCTTTTATTTTGAAAGACTGCAAAGGGGACTCCCGCTACATCGTAAAGTTAAGGGAGTTAATAAAAACAGCTTAAAGTGCGACCAAGAGTTAAAACTGTTCCTCTTACGTTGTTGTGGGAGGGGGAGTTATCTTTAAACATCAGATTAAGAGACCGACTATCTTTCAAAAGGACGTTACATCATCCGTTAGTCAGCTCTGACAGGATTCAACCATAGGTTATAAGATTATACGGTTATAAGAGTCTACGGCTTCAACTGTAAACGAACTGCTGTGATTGGCTGAATTGTCATTCAATAAATCTTACTTGACCGATCAATGACTCCCCCCGTAAAAAGTCTGGGGGATGAAATTACGTCTCACTGGAAGTGTGGGTGTTGCATCGCGGCGCGCCCTCTGATAGCAAAACTCTCGTCCCCTGTGATCAGATTCTGCAGTGATGTGAACGGGGGAGGGAGGGGGGGTCAAATGTGAATTTAAGAAACCAGCTGATGCATGTTGGTGTCAAGTCCACCCCTCATGTTCAACATCATCACTCATTTTCAGCAGGACGTTTGTGTGTGTGTGTGTGTGTGTGTGTGTGTGTGTGTGTGTGTGTGTGTTTGTGTGTGTGTGTGTGTGTTTGTGTGTGTGTTTGTGTGCATGTGCATGTTTGTGCATGTGTGTGTTTGTTTGTGTGTGTGCGTGTGTGTGCGCGTGTGTGTGCATGCGTGTGTTTGTTTTTGTGTGCATGCGTGTGTTTGTTTTTGTGTGTATGTGTGTGTTTGTATTTGTGTGCGTCCGTGTGTGTTGTGTGTGTGTGTATATGTGTGTGTTTTTGTGCATGCGTGTGTGTGCGCGTGCATGTGTGTGTGTGTGTTTGTGTTTGTGTGAGTGTATTTGGTCATATTTGTAACGGCTCTGTCTTCTCTTGCAGGACGACTACATTCCTTACCCGAGGATCAAGGAGGTTTGTACCTAAATTCAAACATTACAAACGAGCTGAATGTGATTCATGTCGAATCAAAACACGAGAAAATGTAACACGAGGACGAGGGATGTACAGATTAATTGTGAATCAGTTAAAAATCGATTCAAAGGTGTCATGGTTCACATCGGTACAAATAGCACAACCAACATGATGCACCACGATGAGAACCTCCAATCACCTCCCCTTGTTGAGAGAACAAAAACAATAAAAGGCCAAACCACACTGACAAGCGGGTTAGAGACCCTAAAGGAATCTTTTTCAGTCATTATTTGTCTACAGTCTCATTTTGTAAAATAAATCGTATCATGACATCACTAACGAGGAGAGAAACCAAAGACGTGAGTCAAAGAGCGTCCTCTTCCTCTTAGCCTCAGCTGTCGTAACTGGCTGCTTTGTAGCTGAAGGCTGCTGTGTGAACTAGCGCCGTAAAGACGTACGCACTTCTCATGAGATGACATCGGCCCGCTGACAAAGTTACATAGGCGAAACAGGCGAGCGGGGCGCTCTGTGGACGTGAGAGAGAGGCCATTCTCCCTGTTGGACGTTATTGTTCTATTAGATCGAATCTGAAACGACTGAAGGAGGAGGAGTTACAGACTGTTGCTTAAATCGAAATTAAATTTAACGTTCATAATACGGTGACCAGCCGGCCAATCAGTGCACCTCTAAATGAATTAACTTTTTTCACAGCGTTTCCAAATAATCAAACCTTTAATAGATCCACCCCCCCCCCCCCCCCTTTGTGTGCACGTGTGCCTGTGTGTGTGTTTGTATCCGTTAGGTGTTGGAGAGGGGGGGTCCATACCCTCAGGTCATCTTGCCGGAGTTCGGAGGTTACTGGATCGAGGATCCCGAGGCTCCTCCGCCTCCGGCACCTCCTCCCGCCTCCCTGGAGACTGAGGGGACGGAGAGAGAGGAGAGGAAAGAGGAAGAGGAGGAAGAGGAAGCGAGGGCGGTCCTGAGAGAACTAGAGGAGGAAGACAGACCCCCGGGGGATTATGGGTACCGGCTGGAGGAGATCAGCGAGGCTGCTAGGGCTTACAGGAAGCGCTTCTTAGGCAGGGTGAGAAGTAGCATCTCTGCCGTTGCTATGGTTACCCAGTGTTTGTGTCGGCTGAGCTCTGATTGGTTGCTAAGCTGTTGAACCGTGATGAGGTCGAGATGAACACCTGCCAGCCAATCAGAACACAGGATTTTAAATTTTCAAAGTTTTTTCTGCTGGTCTATTGTTGGAGTTAGTAATGGTCTCTCTCTCTCTCTCTCTCTCTCTCTCTCTCTTCTCTCTCTCTTTCTCCCCCCCCTCAGGAACATTTAAACTTCTCTTGCTCGGCCAGCAGTCAGGGGAACCTCCTGCTGTCTGTGAGGCACGAGGAGGAGAAGGAGCATGAGTCGCTCCACGTCATCATCAGGTAAACTCACTCACACACACACACACACACACATGCACATACACCTTAGTGATGAAGCGTTTCAGACTTCGGTTCAGCAGGTCGTGTTGCTTCAGAAACATCGTTCTCTGAGAAGAATGAGGAGGGTCGTTGAGAATTAAATGTAAAGATGTGCTTGGAGTGACTTCTGGTTTCTTACCTGAGGTCCCTGAGTACAAGGAGAGAGCGAGGGAGAGAGCGAGGGAGAGAGCGAGGGAGAGAGAGAGGGAGAGAGAGAGAGAGGGAGGGAGAGAGAGAGGGAGAGAGAGAGAGGAAGAGGGAGAGAAAGAGGGAGAGAGAGGGGGAGAAAGAGGGAGTGTGTCTAGCTCTTTGTGCCTCGTGTCACTTCAGGTCTCGGGTGAAAAGTGTCTACCACAGATTGTCCCTGACAGAGATGCCAGAGATCCCCAGTGTGCCCGAGCTCGCAAAGGTACACACACACACAAAGTCTGTGCTTGTAGATGTGTAGATATGGGGACCATAAACAACAGAACATGTTGATAACTGTGTGTTTGTGTTTTCTCTCTGAAGCTGCTCTGTGATGAAGCTGCAGGTCTTCGTTTCAGTCCTGTCCTCTACCCCAAAGTGAGATTCAACACTTTCAAATGTTTTTAACCAATCAGTGCAGACACTAAACAAACCGGATACATTTCACAAAGCTGTGTGTGTGTGTGTCATCAGGCGTCTCAGCTGATCGTAAACTATGACGAACACGAAGTCAACAACACCTTCAAGTTTGGAGTCATCTTCCAGACGTTTGGACAGGTACATGTTGTCAGACTTAACACACATCTTGAATTTCGTCCCATGGTTGTATTTTGGGTGTGACGGGCTCTCACCTGTCTATCAGGTGTCTGAGGAGGAGCTGTTCAGGAACAACGAGGAAACGCCGGCGTTCACAGAGTTCCTGCAGCTGCTGGGAGACACGGTGGAGCTGCAGGACTTCAAGGGGTGAGCGACCACACGGCTCGACTTCTGCTCAATCTGAACATGTTTTTTTAAGTTAATGACTCAGTTCAACTAAAGCGCTGATGTGACGAGACGCCAAATGAGGTTTTAATGGACAAAGGTCCAGCAGGAAGGAGGAGAACCTCCAGAGAGACCGTCACAGCTGACTCTCCGTCCTCCTCTGTGCAGGTTTCGGGGCGGTCTGGATGTGTCTCACGGCCAGACGGGTTCTCAGTCGGTGTACACAGTCCACAGGCACCAGGAGATCATGTTCCACGTCTCCACCAAACTGCCCTTCACTGAGGGAGACACGCAGCAGGTAGACGACATCACACAGCATTGAAACCAGACAAATCAGGAATCTATTTAAGCACATTTAAAACAAACACAGATGACCAAAGAGCTGCATACCGTGAAACACAAATCAATTTAAATTAATATATGAAAAATAAAGAACACAATAAAAACATGATGATTGAGGCCCCATGTCCACCTTTTTTTTCTGAGCACCAGTGTCTACTGTGTTTGCAGCAGTGCTTTGCCTTTTTTCTGCGACCACATCGACTTCACTTACAACTTTTCAGAAAGGTGCTGTTGAGGTCACTAGCGCCCCATATTTTTGTCTCCTACAGATTATGTCTTGTACCCACATCCTCCTCGCTCCGTGTCTGATCGGGAAATAAACCATGTAAAATATAAAACATGCAGTAAAAAGTAACAGAGCAGTGTCGGTCAACAGCAGATATGTCAACAGACTGTTGTCATGGAGACTGGACCGACTTGCAGCGCTTTAATTCTCAGCGCACAAACGCTCCATGCAAACAGTCCAGAGAACACAGCCATGCATTTCTGCCTGAAAAGTAAACGCTGGGTGGACACGGGGCCTCAGAGTAAAATGTAGTTACGTAATAAAAGTGCTAAACTTGAATTAATAATGGAAGACATCAGGATCCTTGCTTCGTGTTTTGAAGGAAATAATAAAAAACTGTTTCCTCCTGCAGCTCCAGAGGAAGCGTCACATAGGAAACGACATCGTGGCGGTGGTGTTCCAGGAAGAGGCCACGCCCTTTGTCCCGGATATGATCGCATCCAACTTCCTGCATGCCTTCATCCTAGTGCAGGTGGAGGAGCCTTGCTCTGACTGCACGTCCTACAAGGTACGTCGAAAAATAATCCAGTTTGATCAGAACGTGTTGATTTAAAGGTTCTCTAACTTTCAGCAGGTCAGGACGTTTGACCCCTAAATTCCACCAGATGTGTTTTCAGTCTGTCTCTGCTGCACACAAAAAAACAACCTGACTCTCGCTGTCAGTGTTTGTTGCTTTTCTCCAACCAAAACTCCTGAATGCATGTATGTCGTCATTATGGCTCCACAACTGGGAAGTTCGATGACTTCGTGGAGCACTTAAAGGCAACACAAGTTTCAATCAGAGGCTAAAACGACCCCGTCCATGCTGACTCACAGATGCCGTGTCTTGAGGCTTTATAACGGAGTGTCGTCACAAGATTGAACTTAAGGAGAACCAACAAACGGAAGAAAAGATTTCTGTCCTAAAAGAAACCAAATCAGTGCTGAGATACATATCATCATAATAGATCACAGAATCTAGTTTTCCGATGTTTATCAGCTCTTGTCTGCCACTCGCCATCTCACAGACACTCGCTGATGAAACAGTAAGGGAGGGGTGGGGGAAGGGGCTGAGAGCTGAGAGATGAAGGAGGTGTCTGAAAGGAGCACTTGTTTTGCTCTGAGTGTCCCATAGTAAGCCTGTGATAAGAATATTTTTATTCTGTCTTTTGCCTTTGTTCCTTTCCAAAATAAATAAAAGCAAACTTTCAAAGACTCTAAATATAAACTTTGTCCCTGCTCAGCCATCAGATTCAAACTGACCCGGAATTAAGCTTTTTTTTTTGTTTACACAGACTTTAAAGATTCCGTTTGTTCAGTTTGTTTTTCTCTGCTGAGATCGATCTTTACTGCAGGTGACTGTTCATCCTGTTTTGATTGACAGGTGTCCGTCACAGCACGAGAAGATGTGCCTCCGTTTGGCCCACCGCTCCCAAACTCAGCGGTTTTTAAGAAGGTGAGAGAAGGACATGGGTAGTAAAAAACTTTTCTATCATGAATGACTTGTGCATATTCGTAGTACACATGTAAACTGTATTTTTTCTGTGTGTGTGTTCAGGGTCCAGAGTTCAGAGAGTTTCTTCTCACCAAACTCATCAACGCAGAAATCGCCTGCTATAAGAGCGACCGCTTCGCCAGACTGGAGGTAAAACCTTCAGGAAACACCAAGATTTCCTAGATTAATCAAATGATTGGTTCCCTCAGAGTGAGATAATAATCTGTGGCAAATTGATTCGCCGTCCTCCGGTATCTGGCGAAAATAGAAGCATTAGGGCGATCACAAGCTAGTGAGAAAAGACCACTCAGAGTTGTTGCTTTTGTCCCTGACAGGCTCAGCTTGTTATTCTAAGTGATCCAAACCAGCCATTAAAAACACCAAAGTTACAAATATACAAATTTTTGTATTCCTGGAATCTTTGAATCAATTCTTGGTTGGTGGTGTTCCACAGGGCTCAATGTTTGGTCCCCTGGTGTTTACATTCATTGTACGTGTGTGTGTTTGTAGGAGCGTACCAGGGCCGCTCTACTGGACAGCCTCCATGATGAGCTGCAGAGACGCTCCCAAAGCATGCTGGGATTGACATCAGGTCTGGAGGAGGAAGGGCGAGCTGAGAATGGACACGCCCACGGAGGTCTGCTCGAGTCCCTCAAGGTCTGTGTTTGATTGTGTTGATGTTACTTTGTTAACAAAGACGTTAACTTCTTTTGCCCTCACAATAAAAATTGATGTCGTCCTCTCTGTCTCCGTCTTTCTACATCAGAGGGCGATGAGAGGGCGGAGCGTCTCCATGGAGACAATGTCGAGAGGCGGGGCAGGTCTTCCCACCAGCCTGAGTGGAGGGGGTCTTGCACACTTCAGTGCTGAGGTGACAAAGAAAGACTCAGAAACCATGTACTTCTATATTCATATTAAGTACGATGTCACAATAAGTGCTGAATCTAAATTCATCGAATGCATTCTTGTTTAAGTGAGAAATCCTCAAATATATTCTAGACCGGATGATTTTTAAGTGTGAAACGGAGGTCTGTCGTCATCCTCGACTGCCACGCGATGTTTTACAAATCTTCAGACTCTCCAATGACGGTGAAATTTATTGTACTCTTAAAGAAATGGCTCAGTTCGGATTGGTATGGTATATATTGGTGTTTCCATCATCACAAATTAGGATGGTACCAAAATATCCAATCTGTACCCTTTCACATTTTTGTTACCCTCCCGTTGGGATGCTAAGTGTACCAATCTGACCCTTAACGGTAGAGCTAGACACACTGCAGTCTGTTGATTGGTCTAAAGAATAGTCACTTCCTGTTTGACAGCGCTAATAACAATATCCTGTGGATTTCAAGAGTCATTTCAAGGCTATTTTTGTTATTTTGGGACTAATTTCAGCACGTAGCTCCAGTAGAGGTCAGCACCTCTGAGGTCGTCCATGTGCCCCATGGACGACCTCAGAGGTGCTGACCTCTACTGGACGTCCTTCATTCTTACCCTTTGCTTACTGCATTGTGTTCTTCTTTTTAACTTATCGGCGGGTTACTCTGTGTCATGCTGCTATGATGTCACGCTATTACGTAGCAGATGCAGCTAGCGCCATTAAGCTTACACTCCTACAGAGTATGGGTTCGGTCGGCTGTGGAAACTAAAGTAAGATCAGGGTTTAATGTTTTTGTTCTTTACATATTTCGGGTCTGAATAATTGGTAGGAACATTTTGGACTGTCTGAAGTAGACGAGTTGATCTTGAACGACTTCATTCGTTAAAACAGAGATTTAAAGTAGCAGTGCACTGGATGTTGTTTCTCTGCTGCAGCTTTGATCAGCACGTTAGCGCTCGTTATTTTGCCATTCTGCTGTTTTAGATCAAACAAGACATGAGAATAAACTGAAGGAGGTGAGAGAATAAACATCTGTGGACTGGCACGTTAAAGTGGTGACTCAAAGAAACATGTAATAAAAGACTCTCACAGCTGGTGCATGTTGTGTCTGTTCTCAGTATAACGTGAAGTCTCCTGTGAAGAGACGTTCAGGACTTTTCCCGCGTCTGCTGAGTGTCGACAGTCAGACCGAGAAACACAACCTGAGAAGGTACGTTTTAAACCGACATCCCTTTTGGTTTCTCTGCGTCTCTTTTCAGGAAGCTAGGCTAACAGTTTCCCTCTGCTTCCGGTCTTCATGCTAAGCTAGTTTTCACCACATGTGATTCACTTTCAGTCTCCTTAGCGAGCAGAGGAGCTTCGACTGCGGCTGCCACGCCACCCTGGAGGTGAGGTCGGAGCTGCCGTCCAATCCCAGCTCTCCAGAGGCTGGACAACGGGACAGGTGAGTGTTTGTGACTCTTGTTCCCTTCATCGTTTTGCCTTTAAAATATTTCATAAAAGTGAACTTTGAAGCTTTTTTAGTTTCACTTAAATCCACTGACCTGCATAAACAGCAGGTGGTGGGTTTAAAATAGTATTAAAAACTACATTTATAAACACCTGTATCCATCAAAAAAACAACTAAATTCAAGATAAAATTGAAAGTTTGTGGAGTGAAACATCCTGGCCGCGTCAGCTGAAGACGTCTTTGTTTGCAACCTGCAGAGTCCACGTGAAGAAAGAGAGCAGTAAGATCTCCAGGTCGACGTCCAGCAGTTGCAGCTTCAGCTTACCTGCAGATGAAACACACCTGGTGAGAAACTACTACTCCATATTATCATCAGATGTTTAAGTCAATCGTTTTAATTCCATCCGTCCATTATCTAAACCGCTGTTTCCTGTAGAGACGTAATTTCTGGATTTTACCGTAACCTGCTCTCTCTCTCTTTGCTGCAGCTCGCCCAGGCTGTGACCGTAGAAGGTCAGAATTCAAGTCCGCTCCTAGTTTGTCGCAGCCCAACAGGTTCAGAAACACGCACGCACGCACGCACACACACACACACACACACACACACACACATCAGTGAGGATCTGCTCATTATTTGTTTGTTTGTTTTCAGAGCTGAAGAATAAAAACTCTCCCAGATCCAACCTTAAGTTTCGCTTTGACAAGTTGAGCCACTCAGCAGCAGTAAGTCCTTCATGACGTCTCGTTATTGACACTAATGAGAGTCTGATTGTGTTTCAAGTTTTTACACTAAAAAAAGTTATTAAAATACAAATATGTACCTCACCATTCTGTTCATTTAACAGACAGAGAGGGCGTTTTCACATTAGGCACGTTTGTTTCATACCATGCCCGAACACGATTGTTCCTCCCCCCTCACCCGCTACTCATCGTTCTGTAACCGAGTACACTTACGTATGTACACAGTCCGATACAGCAGGTGGCAGTATGTACATAGTTGTTTTCAAATCTGCCAAAAAGCAGAAAGAAGAAGAAGTTTGCATGGCAACCACTCGCGGGCTGAGTTCATCCTGCTAACTGTGGATTTTTTTGTTAATTCTGAGATGCCAAACCCCGTCCCTCTTCCTGCGTCCACATCTACCGTGCAGCTCAGAGGATGAAACGGCCCGTGCTGTGCGGCTATGACGGTTTTTGAAATGACAGAAGATGTTTAGAATGATGTCATATAGTTGTCCACTTCCTTGTTTGAGCACGGTTGCGTTCACATCTCATGCAGACGGTACTCGAGTACACATGAATCTTGCCTGAGCTCACCTCTTCAAGCAGACTCGGTCACGGTACTTTTGTGTTCACACTGATCAAATGAACCGGACTCTGGGGTCAGCCATTCTCAGATTCGGGACCGGGTTCCGAATGTGAAACCATCCTAAGTTACCATCCATAATTTATTCACCTTTAAATGTTTAACAGGTCGGTGTTGTTCAGGCAGGTAAAGGTATTGTGTGAGTCATTGAAGCACGTCTCTCTGCTCGGTCTGACGATGGAAACAGAATGATGAGTATTGAATCTCTGAGCTGAAACATTTCCGTCTTTTCTCCTGTTTGTCGTCCTCTCTCCGTCTGCAGCCCGGACAGTAAACTGTGAGGACGGCGATGGGAGGTGAGGATCATGTGTGTGTTTGTTGTGATATTAAAGAGAATCTGTTGGAGAGGTGTGAGAAACACGGAGCTGCAGTTTAATGTCGTGATTAGAGAGCCTTTTTATCACTGCACATTTAACAAACTATCTGCAACGAGAAACATTAACACAATCATACACACACACACACAGACAGACACACAAACACACACACACACAGACACACACACACACACACACACACACACACACACACACACACACACACACACACACACACACACACACACACACACAGACACACACCTGTACTAGCAGTAGAAAGGTGTAATAAAGAGGTGTTTATATAAATGGAGTGTGTTCAGTGCAGTGTTCGTTGTGATAGCACCTCAGGGCTCCGTTGTCCACTCGAAGGTTTAGAACGACACAGGAGAGGTTTAATCCTGATTGAAATCAGGATCACACGTCCAAACCTTTCAAGTAGGATCTGGATCACCCTGCTGGATTACAGGAAAACCTGCATGAGAACTCAAACTGCTGAAACAAACAACATTTCTACAAGCCAGTTGATATTTGATATTACATTATATATTATATTTTAATTATATTTAGCATTAGAGGGATGTTTTGATTCACTGACAAAGTAGATGAGGTACCATTGAGGATGAGGATCTTTAGTTTGTGTGGACTTTGGCGCCCCCCTGTAGACAAAATAATGTAGTGTGAAGTAAACCAGATCATTGAAGGTTTGCACCTGGATCAGAGTGATCCTGAATGTCCTCTTGAATAAGAGCAAAGCCCAGAGCATATGTGGTAACAAATTAAATAATTAATTATAAATAAACTCTGTGACTGAATGCTGATGTGTTTGTTCAACAGTTTTAAAATCTGTTTTTCTTTCTTCTGTCACTTTTTCATTTTCCAGAAAAAAAGAGAGGAGGTTCAGACAAACATCACGCGTAACTCCATCGTCTTTACATGCTCCGCCTGTTAAACTAACAGAATATATTTCTCATGATGTCACGATGATGTCGCCATGATGTCATCAGGGTAATCTCAGACTACAAAGAGTGGTACAGGTGAAGTGGTATTTACCTGTGCAGCAGAGAGAGGGTCACACTGTGTTCTGTTCGTGTGTCCACACGCTGCAGAGATGTAACGTCTGTACATCTGTGCGCTTCAATAATAATCTTTGACTTTTATTAATCAGGGACTCCGAGCGAGCTGAAGCTGACGGCTGGATGGACGTCCTAAAATAAGACATGGCTGACATTTTCACTCGTCCTTGTTTTGCCTGGTTGACAGATGCAACGTGTTTCTGATTGAAAAATGAGTATGTAACACTGATGAAATAATCTCCTTACGTTGGGCAAAAGCAGCTGTCAGTTTAAACACCTGAGCAAATCATATGCAGTCGGCAGCCAACCGGCATCTGCCCCCTTCCCCTAGGTGAACTAAATACCTACGGTAATTTAATTCATTCACATCCAGCCAGCAGGTAGCAGGACTCAAGCAGATCAGCAATTGGAAACATTCATTCTGAACCTCTGAAAGTTTAAAACGAGGAGCTTCAAACAGATTGTACCAAGAGAAAGAAGGCAAGTAACGAACAATAAAGTTTTCTTTAAAACACTCGATTCATAAAAATAAAACAGGTGCAAGTATCTTCAAACTGAAGCTCAAGTATACCTTGTTCTTTCAAAGAATGGCCAAAGGGAACCTTAAAGCAGCTGGTTTAGGGGATCTAAAGACAAACCTAAACATTTGTCCAAGGAAAAAAAACACATGCTAAAGGATACCTTAAAATTAGACTATAAAGGTTCCTAAAAACAGACCTTATCATGTGTAAGAAAATTATCTGATAACATGTGATTTAAGGGTTTTTACGGATCCCTTGTTTTGGTACCATTCCCAACTTCTGACACGGTGGAAACGCCAATAAATGTGTACCGTACCAAACCGAAATGAACCAGACTGCTTAGTGGAAACAAGACTTAAGAGTACAGGGTACCTCAATGTGTTAGATAGGAGACGATTCTTGTGCACTCTAAATGAGCACTGAAGGGTCCCTTATAACAGATCTTACCAGCTGAAGAGAGTATCCTTAAATACAGACCTGACCACAAAGAAAACAGGCGTTACTTCCCTTAGAGAGATGCGCCGGGTACCTTGACCCAGAACTATCCATGTGTTTGAAGTAAAGGGGATACTTGAGGGTAAAATAAAAAGTAGCGAAAGGATACCCTAAGACAGATGCTCAAGGGTTTCTAAAAACCGAGTTAACTGTGCCTTGGATAGGAGACCAAACTAAATATGAGCGCTGAAGGGTTAATAAGAACAGATCTTACCAAGAGTGAAAAGGCAAGTTAACAGACAGTAAAATACTTAATCAGGTATTCATTTCAAAAGGCAGATGCTGAAGGGTACCTTAACACAGACATAAGCGCAAGATTGAAATCAACCAAAATCTTAAAAAGTGTATCTGGAGGAAATCACCAACTCTGTCTTTAACTATGAATTAGATAGGTGACCAAAAGAAATACAAGCACCGAAGGGTACCTTAAAAGATAACTTAACAAGTAATTAAGTATACTTGAAAAAAAGACTTCAACAGGTCTTATAAAAGGAAACAGGCTTCTTAAGTGAACCTTGACACAGAAATTTACACAAGTTAAGAGAACAGATACTAACGGGTACCTAAAACAGCCTATGGGTATCCTGAACACGACGCTAAGGCACCTTAAACAGACGCTAACGAACAGGTACCTTAATATAGACTGACCATATCTTAGACATTAGAAAGCTCCAGAACATGATTGGTGGAGGGTACCGTGAAACAGAAATGGAAATGGTCATTCACAGGATAAAGTGGAAAAAGGTTTTCCTTGAGTTTTGAGATTTTTATAAAAATTTAAATCAATTTAAATCCAACCAAATTTGTTGATCTCTTCATCCACTACATGCTTCTGAACTGGACCACTGCGAGTTATTTAAATAATAAAATTAGGAACGATTTTAATCCACCACTGTAAGGGACGATGTTAAACACCTTTAAGTCTCTTCTTCCTGACTGTTTCTCCATTTTACTTTCATTCTTTGGGGATTTAAAGGTTGTTAAACATTGTAATTTTAACCTAGAAAAATTTACATTTTCTCAAATTGAGTTAAAAAATCACTAACTTGACCTTGCTTAGTAAGGGCGCACTCACACTCTGCAATCCGTACCGTGCCCAAGCACGCTTCACACCTTAAGTCCAGTTTGCTAGACTAGTGTGAGTGCTCCGTGATCAAGCTTGATACACTTCCTCAGCCCTGGCACGCTCGGAAGAGGTGTGATCATGTTGCATGGTACAGTTCATGCACGAGCACAAGCACACGGGTACAAAACGTGGACAGCCTTCATTACGGAGAAATCACATCATCGGTATGACTTGACCGTGTGTACCTTCTACTTTTTCTTAATAGTCCACCTGTCTTGTAAATTGAGCACTCTTCATAATAATGCTTCATGATCACGTAAAGCCATGCATGTGTACAAGAGGTAACCGTGCTCAGGCCCGTTTAGTCCTATAGAAGTGTGAGTGCAGGCCAGCCCCCTCCCCATCCCCCTGTGCTTCAGCACAGTACGGGACAACAGGGCCTAGTGTGAGTGCGCCCTGAGACAGTATGCCAACCTGCTGCACGCACGGTTCGCATATCAGCATTATTCTGTCTTTCTTGGACAGATGAGGTATTTTTGTGTCTTTTTCTCCATATATTTAATCCTCTAAGTGATCAACACTAAATGCAAAGGGGGTGTCTTACTGAGATCTGCCTTTCTTTGTCAAAACATGCAGCAACACCAGGCTGGCGAAAGATATGGCTTTAAATTGGGATAGGCTTTTATTTGAAGTTTTACAGTTATTCTGACTGAGAGAGATAATAATGTCAAACACTTTCCTGTAGTTCTTCCAAGTTTTCTACTGTAAACACAGAATTTGCCTCTATATCGATAACGTCATTCCTGTGTATTTAATGATGTCTGAACGTTTACACACATCAGTCACTGTTAGCTGTTTAAATAATCAACAATACAATCAATATATCGACTCAGATGTTCAATCAGCAGTTTGTCGCTTTTGTCACAGTCGGGTCAACCTGCTGCAGGTTTGTAGAAAATATTCAATTCACTGTAAGATTTCTCTGAACAGGTTGGACTCAGTGCTGTGTTGAAAGTGACCGACTGTAAACCTGCAAAAACCAGAAGCTTCACTGCCGTTTGATGCAAAAACAGACAGGAAACAGATGTTTTTTATTTTGCACTAAGATGACACAAAGCTCTGTGGATGTTAAATATGTACAGTCTGAATACTAACTCTACTCTAATTATCTTGATTGCACTGAAAGCACAAAAATCTGTTCCTCCTCGTCTCCTTCTGATTTCAGGTGTAAATCTCTGTCAGTTTGTTCAGATTTTTGCAATATAAGAGTAAATAATTTATTTTGAAAGGGGGCGAGGGAGGATGTAGCATAATTACAAAGATGTCGCTGTGTCTGTATTTAATGTTCTCCATCATAATGGAAAAAATCAATTTACGTGATTCTGCTATGTAAATCTGATGTTATAAAGTTTCTGCAGAGCTTCAACTTTGTCTCAGTTTGTGTGTGTACGTGTGTATGAACATGTTTTACGGGGACATAAATCTGATCAGTCACAGTATGGGGACTTATATTCCTTAAAGGGACACAACACAAATCCCCTGAGCATAAATCTTCGCCTATATTGTTTTGGTGTATTTACATCAAAACAAAAACATGTCACTCAAAGAAGTGGACATGGGCAGGAGAAAAAGTTATGTTTTAGGTGTGTAAATGTGTAAAGTTTCTTTCGATCAGTAGAAAGTATTGCTTGAGTAGTAGAGAGTTTCTGCTGCTGTGTCTCAGGATAAGCAGGTTAAGTCTGACTCAGAAAACAGAGTGAGACTTTTAAAATCCTACCCCATTTTAAAATCGTGTAGCATTTCGCACTTAAGGAGAAATTGATCTTCTCTATAATCTCAAGCATGCAAACAAGATATGAAAACAATGGCACATCACATACTACAAGATTTTATTAAGATTGTTGTGCTCAGCGGAGGAACACACCAGCTCACTTGACCTCTGTCTCCTACAGAATTATTATGAACAATAAGGAGATTTATTTTTAATGAACTTTGTTTTCATCCTTGGAAAGGTTTACATACACACATCAAGGCCAATCCTATATTCTGTGTTTCTGTCTTACATTAAAGTAAAAAAAAACTGAAAATGCAAGGAAACTTTTTAGTAGTTTAGAAGAATACTGTGGTATTTTTGGCATACTGCAGATCTGACATTTGTTCACATTGCTCAGCGATATAGTGGATCACCTCTCAGATTGGGAAAAGTGTCACATTAAAGAAAATTACATCATGTTTTGTTACACATATTAACACAGAAGTATCTTCTTTATTTCTAGGTATTTGGCAATAGGGGACTCCTACCGGTCGATTGCCTTCCTTTTCAGTAAATGTCAGTGTAATGGATGGAAAGCATGTCATAATTGAGGCATCTCCACATAGCGGCTCCCTCTATTATAATTACAAGGGGACATTCTCAATTGTGCTGTTGGCTGTGGTGGATGCCCGGTATCGGTTCAGGGTGGTCGACATTGGAGCATACGGGAAGAACAGCGATGGAGGGACATTAGCTGCCTAACAGTACACTACAACAGCAGTAACTAATTACTAGGCCTATACATGAAATGAGTGATTACACTAAAAACTCTAGAGATCAGTGAAAGTGAAAATGTGTTGTTTTGTTTTGACAGCTGATGGTCATCTGGCGTCCCCGTGTGACCTGTGGGGGTCACTGTGTATATACAGTAGATGGAGAGGAGAAATGTAATCAGTTCACTTGGAGATTTTTTTAGATATAGTGTTTTTAATTTACATTTCAGAAATTATTTTAGTCTGTTTTTTAGCTTTTTCCCCATAACAAATTTTGTAAATATATTTTTCAATCATTCTCTACTATAGAATATTTGTTTATAATCAGTTCTCTCGATCATTCTCTATATAGCTTATGCAATTTTTTTAATTCTCGATTTTTCTCTGTAAGTAGACCTGTAATTACAGCAGGTGGAAAGTTTAATTTGTGTAAAGAATTGTCTATTATTAAAATGTTATATGATAACTTAGCAAGGCTTTGGGAGCTTTTCTGAAAAATGTTTGATTTCATGCTGCTCACAATTATTTTAAAATCTATTCCAACCATGCATGCAGCAGGATGAGTTATCATTTAAAGAACAAATTGAGTGGGTACATTGTAAGTTCCAGTAATGACTGCAGGTAATAGTAAACTGTATCTATGTTTCCCCCTTTTTGAAATTCCAAGATAATTAATATCACACAAGCATTTATGTTGTATTGTATGTCATCACACGCCTAAATATAGTAAATGTCAATTGTTTATAGTCTGTCAAACAGTGTGACTAATGACTGCGAAGTATGGTAAATATACAGTAGGTTTATTTAATCAAAAATAATAACAAGACTATAGAATTACTCATTTCAAATACAAATTAAATAAAGTGCCTTTCTATATACATACAGTTTATACATTGCCGTTTGACACTACACACAGTTATTTGACACGAGTCACAAGATCAAATCAGTCCATTCGGTGAACTCACTCTCCAAATTCTATATCAAATAAGGCTTACTGAAAGCGAAGCCTCACCATGGCTTGCTTTCGGGGTTCAAGACCATCTAATGTGGGTGCCAAGCTGAGGAGGTAGTGTTCATTTTCTGTATATTTTGTCAATCCTTGGTCTAATTTATTTAAAATTTGAAGTTGATATGAGGTCATTTCCCTTGGAGTTTCTTGAGGAGAGGACACTGGACGTGGTAGTTGTTGAAAGGCTCAGGGGAGGACTTGGTGTAGATGTCAGTGAGGGAGGCAGGTGATCGGTGGTGAGTGTGGATACAAGGCTTTCCTCTATCGAGTCCTCACTTTGGTCCTGTATGAAATTGAAAATAAAACCCAACACAGCACTTATTAGAACATTTAGTATTGAGCTATTAAGTGGCTGGTGAATTTGTACGTTTATCTGTCAGTGGCTGGTCTTTCAATTTTTAAAAGTACATTTCTAACCCTATCCATACATACACACTGATTTCTGCAACACACATTCCTAATAGCCTATAATCAGGCCTTCCTCTCTTTGCTCTGAACAAATGGTATTATGAATAGCTGTGGCAAGAGGTCTCCCTGTCTCCATTATAAGGCTCAAGGAAGGATAGGATGTCCTCTAACCCTTACACCACTCCTACCCTTCTCCTGCTCTTCTCTCTTCTCCTTCTTGTATTTATCTCTCAGATATTTCCATGTGTTACTGCATGATTAGGATAAAAAAGACCGTAAGACTACAGCCGTCATTATAACTTACCTATAGCGTTTAGCCTATGGATGAATTTTAGACGTGTACGTTACATATCAGAAAGACCCAAAGATCTGCCGATCTGTTCCCAGATGGACTCCTTTATATGAATGTTGCTGTATCGCTTGTGACTCATGTCATATAACTCGGTGTAGTGTGAAACTGCAATAACAAGCTGTTCAACCGGTACTTTCCCGTTCTCCATCTTGGATGGTGTCTGTTTGGGCATCGGTAACTAGGGACGTAGGTTACTAGGGAAGGAACACTCGACTTGTCCTGATTGGTCAGCTGTCAGAAAGGCGCTTGACGTCACCCAGCGCTTTTCTGAAAAGTGGCGCTCTATAACAATCAGTGTTGTGTTTTGAATGTAAACATTCCAGATCAAAGGAAAGAAAACGTGACTTTGATGTGAACAAAGTGCTTTGATCCAGAGGTTCATGAGAGCTATATAAAGACACTGACAGAAAGCAAAGTCAGCAGAAAACACAAGACTTCCCCGTTAATAGTTAGGACCAGGTCAGGACATGTCCCGAAAAAGCAATAGGCTAAAATCTACTGGATACTACGATCCAGAAGGAGAACCGCAGGTTTCCTACAAGGATAAATTATCCAGGATTTTCAGGAGACACAAAGCTCCCTGTAAAAAGACAATAACCTCCGATAGTGATACGCACAGTGTCGAAAACTTCGATCTTAGCATAAATTACAGCATAGACGCTAGCGGTAAAGCAGATAGTAACGAAGGCCATCTTAGCAGCACAAACAGTGCAAGACAAAGTCCCCACAACTTAAACAGCGACAGCAGCAACACAACCATGTACAGCTACAGACAAAGCAACACGGACACACTAAAAAAAACAAACAGAGACAGCATGGACAGAGAAAGCCAGAGCCCCACCATGTTCAATTCAAGGAATCTTGGCTTTCTCTTCTTTGTACTGAGTCTGTGTAGTGGATTTACTTTTTACTACTTTTTTGCTACTCCAAGTGACAACCTTCAGGAGTCACAACACTCACAGCTACCTGTCTCATTAACCCCGACTAATAAGGACATGAATTTAGCATTTGAAGACATGGCAGCGCAGCTAAGACGTCTACAAGATGAGCTGCAGAGTCTAAGGAAAGACATAAACATGCGTCCTATAGGGAACACTTTACCGAACTTCGCTCTGCATTCACAAGGAGCCAGTATCATACACCACTTGACGTCTAAGACATATTTCTACTTGCAAAATTATTTAACATTCTTTGGGATACCACTTTGGTCACGCTCTGTAAATCCAAACTTTGTAATTAAGGGACGCTCAGAACTAGTTCCAGGAAGCTGCTGGTCGTTCAAAGGTGGGCAGGGTCATCTAGTGATCGCCCTGTCCCACCCCATTGCCATTAGTCATGTTTCACTAGGCCACATTTCAAAGACCTTGTCCCCAACTCTTACAATCACCAGCGCCCCAAAGGAGTTTACTGTCTATGGTATGGAAACTAAAGAAGATCCAGGAACCAAACTAGGAAGGTTTCTTTATGATGAAGATGGAGAGCAGCTACAGACTTTCAACAGCCCTAGTGGGGAAAACAAAATATTCAAATATGTGAAGCTGCAGGTCGAGAATAATTGGGGGAATCCTGATTACTCCTGTCTGTACAGCTTCAAAGTCCATGGGAAGATGGTAGAACGAAACTCAGGGGAGGTTGACATGTAAGTCAAGGTGTCTGTGAAGGTGAATCATAATCCAAATGTTTGACAATTTAAATAGGAATAATTAAAATTATGTGGAAGAACTTGCAGCTATGAAAATATAAGTAAATGTAGCTGATGAGGCACCTGGGCAGGGTGGTCGTGGTGGGTGGGTGGGTCCTAGGGGGGAAGTATGGTGAACCTAATTAGTTCACCATATTTCCTCCCAGCGGAACTTCTTCCCTGCCAGGTGAAAAGACACTGCAGGAGGCACCATGTAGATCTGAGGAGATGTGGCTGTCTTCACTGCAGTGTAAGTCATCCATCATTTGCTGGTATTTTTGTGCTGCAAGTTCCGAAACACTGAGCCATAATTAGTTTGATTTGATCTTAGATTCACCTTCACAGCGGGCAGCATGGTGGCGCAATGATTAGCACTGTAGCCTCACAGAGGTAGGACTGGTGGTGTTTCCGGCTCCATCTCCAGTTCTCTCTCTGTGAAGAGATCGCATCTCTCCATGTTAGCCATGGGTTTACTCCGGGGGTCCGGTTTTCTCCCACAATTAATAAAATGCGCATTAGGTTAATTAGAAACATAAATCAATAAAGAATTTTGACTGAATTTATTTGTTTCTGCTTGTTTTATACTGAACCTAACATTCTTATCTGCAGTAACGGTAACTTGGTATATGAACTTATATCATAAATTCACGATAATATCGACCCAATGTATTGAAATGTGGACTGCAGTATCCATTTTAAACACTAGGTGTCATATATGGCTCCTTCAATTAAAAAGAACAACACAGCGGCCACGAGATGGCGCTGATGCTGTGATGTGACTTTCCTTGCGAGCACAAAAACGAAGAAGAAGCGGGAGGACCGATCACTGCCGGGTTACGATAACACCCGCAGCACAAGCAGTAGCCGTTGTTTGCAGCTCGCTCCATGGCGGCCGCTCGCAGCTTACGGGTGTCGGTGAAATCAGACAGCGGCTCGGACCGGTCCGACTCGGACTCGGACTCAGGCTCTGACAGAGATGCCCGCGAAGCCGAGCCGATGGAGGTGGAGGAAGGAGAGCTGGAAGCGGAGGACGTCTCCGTTAACCGTTCCCTGAAGGAGCTGCTGCCGGTAAGTGTCACAATGAGGCCTTCTCAGACCGGGGACTGGCGTCTCCTGCGGCCGGCGGAACCGCGGGAAGCGTCGGTGTGTGCTAACCTACACTCCCAGATCTCTACGGTTGTTAGCACCATAGTAGTCACCGGCTAACGAGTTTTAAAGGTTAACTACTGTGAACAATAGTTTAAATGTCTGCCTTTAGCCTGGTTGTTGGTTCTCTCACTTGTTGCTGGAGGATTTAAAATCATTCTGTCTTTTTAGTACCACAGAACTCCGTTAACTAAAGTGGAAATTAAACGTTATAAACTTGATTATAACGCCGCTTTATCAAAATGACTCCAGAGCTTTTATGATTCTGATAAATAAAGACTCAGAAATCAATTCGGCCTAACCTTCAGGGTTATAACCACTAACACATGTATAAACACTGTGGTTTACATTTTATGAGTAGATTCTCATTTAAAGCTCCTGTGGAGAGTTTGTGGATGGTTTTGAAACAGACTGAAGTTAATTTTACTGCTGCTGTATGATCTGCATGAACAAGACACTGATTGTTTATATAATGTTATTAGTAGGGCTATCAAAAGATCAATGCTTTTAACATTTTAATGTTTGTACTCTCTTAAACTGAGAGTACTTTACTTCCTGTTAGAATTAAACACGGACAGGGACCGGGACACATTAGTGTTTAATAGATGAAGTTGTTGGGACAGAGCCCGACAGCGGGACGTCCTGGTCAAACCAGGACGGATGGCCTCCCTACAATAGTTCCTCACAGGAGCTTTAAAGTCGAGTAACCAATGATCTATAAAAGGCTTTTTACCTGTCACTATTAAATAGTTAAGGCAGCTCTAAGGTGGCTGTGGATTTTCAATGTCAAGTTTGAGATCTCAAAAGTCGAGTAATAACTTTATAAACTTCTAATCTTTTGTCACAGCATGACTTCTTTGTTTGTCTCGGAAATCCCGTCAGATGTGGTTGAAATGTTGCTTTTTGTTTTACAGGATACAAGCCGGCGATATGAGAACAAGGCGGGAGCATTCATCACTGGGATCGATGTCACTTCAAAGGTAAGACACCGTCACTAACACTCCTCCACCCTTTAACTTGGTCATCTGTACCGTGCCCAAGCACGCTTCAACACTAAAGTCCAGTTAGTTTGACCAGTGTGACCGCTCCGTATCGTGCTCAGGCACGGTACACTTCCTTGGCTTTGGCACACTTTGGAGAGGTGTGCTTCGGCACGGTACACTTTATGCACGAGTACAAGCACGCGGGTACACAACGCTGACAGCCTTCATTATGGAGAAATCCAGAGTTGCATGGCTGTATCTGACTAACATGACTCAATATAAGCCACAAAGTAGCTGTCATGTTCTCTGTGTTGTTCTCCGATGTGCGCCCGCGGACTTGGCCGCGCGTCTTATTTATTATTTAATTTATTTATGGCTGTGTCTGTTAAAAATAGCTTAAAATAAATCGCAAAGTCAGTAAAATAGCTGTCATGTTCTCTGTGTTGTTCTCCGAGTACCGTGCCGTGCTCGAGTCTGCTTGGGTACGGCACGGTACGGATGGCCAGTGTGACCGCGCCCTTACTTCCTCCACCATCACCAGAGCATGGACTGATAACAGCAGCACATGCAGGGAAACACCTGGACATGGGCTTAGTGACATCACTATGGTCGTCACGACAGCAGCTTTTAAAGACAGAGACAGTAGCTTGTCCTTCAAAAAAGAAGACTAAAGTGAAGCTGCTCCATCGTCCCTTCTGGGCCTCCATATGTGTGGTGGTGACTGTGTTTGCAGAGACTCTGTCCTCTCACTGGATTTTACTGTTCTGGTTTGTTCTGGTTGACTCGGGACGTTTCTGGGCGGAGCTGGTGTGTTTCCTCCAGCCAATGACAGCGCAGCAGGTGAGTTTAGGAGTGAATACAATTCAGTGATTGGACGAGATTCAAACTAGTGAATATGACGGACGTGGACGTAGCAGCAAAGAAGAGAAAATATAATCAGAGTGAGGAGAAACACCAAGTGGATAAAGCTCGTTGTAAAACGAGGTTGGACCTTGTGTTGTCTTTTACCCGTGGACGTGGAGTTGGTTTGTTTCCTGTTGTTTCCTGGACAGGCAGGTGACAAACACCGGCTGTTAGCTTGTGCTAGCGTGCGTTAGCTTGCAGTGTAGCTACAAGCAGTAAACGTACACACTACGTCCTGCAGTGAGGGTGAACCACTCATGTCTTAATCAAACAGACTATTCTAGCATTTATCTCAGCCTGTGGACTTTTATGTGGCTTTTTAGCCCTGTCCAGTTGATAGTTGTGAATCACACACACACACTCGCATAACATCCATACATAATATATACTGCAAGAGGAGGCAAAGGACTGACTTGAACATGGGCCGTCCGCTTGGAGGACTACAGCCTTCACACATGGTTGCGACGGTCTGTGACTTAACCGCTAGCCCATCTACGCCCTGATAGTGATGTGTTTGTCAACAATCATCCTCAAACTAGGAGTGCAGGACAGAATCGGCAGGAAGCAGCAACACAATAATGTTCAAATGAAGGTAGAAAAAGCTTCAGTTTTAACAACAAGCCTCAATGGGTGCGTTTAGAGGAGGGACTTACCTGCTGGTGTTTCTCTCTCTCTTTCATAGCTGCAAGCAAAGGTTGGAAAATCTTCACGGGCCACCCGCCCGAGTATCGTCTGTGTGGGAAACCCTGTTTGAGCCTCAGAAAAGAAGAGACCCACTTCTGCTCATAATGACTCGTTCAATAATGTGTGGTTTGTGTGTGTGTGTTTAGGAGGCGATAGAGAGGAAAGAGAAGCGAGCGAGACGTTTCCACTTCATTGCAGAGGAGAGCGTCGCTCAGAGGAACGTCTTCCTGGATAAAGACATCCTGAAGAAAGGTGATCGCGTTGTCCTGCATGTGTGTACATGTGTGTTTACATGTCTGTGCTGAACCCGCTCTCTCTCTCTTCTTCTGTGGTGCTCAGCCATCCCTAGAGTGCGCTTGGAGGCGATGTATGTGGCAGGCGTGGACGACATGAGCACAAAAGATGTTTTCGGGTATTTTAAAGAATATCCTCCAGCACACATCGAGTGGATCGACGATGCGTCCTGTGAGTCGCACGCACGCACGCGCGCACACACACACACACACACACACAAACCCTGACATCAGATCAGTAAGGTCCAGGTGAATCTAAACAACTGTCTGTTTCCTAGGTAACGTGGTGTGGCTTGATGATGACACATGCATCCGCGCCCTCGTCAACAGCAGCCGGTTGCCCGATCCAGAGACGGTTACCACGGCAACACAGAGCAATGACCAGCCGGAAAAACAGAGCAAAGGTCATCATGTTTTTCAGAGAAACATCGAGCAGGGTCCCAGAACTAACAAAACTGAGTGTGTGTAAAACTAAAGTGTGTGTTTTGACC